GTCCCAGATTTCGAAATATTCCAGTTCTGTCTTATCTTTCATAGCCATTGTAAGCCTGTCCATCTCTGCACATGATAAAATTTTATACAGGATTTCTTCTTCCGTTGGAGTTCCCTTATTCCTCCAGTTTTGAGCATAAACCAATCTGGAAGCCGTTAGGATGTGTAGCATCAAGTAAAATATGCCTTTGTCATACTTCACATGCAGGTAGTTCTTAACATACGACCATAATGGAGCCTGCCCATTATGGTTGTTAAGTTGTGATGGTAAAGTGGCTCATCACATGACCCACCTGATTTTATGACCTTTTAATTGCAGCAGTTGTCATTTTAGTTATAGGAATTTTTGCCAAAAAAAACTAGAAGTTAAACACTGGGTTTCAGCAAAAACATAAAAAATGGTCAGATGATTGCAGGATACTGCAGATGGCCATAAATGCAGGAAAGTTATGTGGTTTGAGATATGCATAATGAGATGCAAAGCGGATAAGATATTTTGGGTCCAGTGTGACCATTCATGTCCACACTGGCACTCGTGGAAAACTACTTCTGGTCTCACGTACGAACTCTGCAGTTCATGAAAGCATGCATTTGATATAAGGTGACAATGATTCTGTAAGGTAAGATTCAAACAGGCATTTTCCCAAGTCTATGTTAGGTATTGTGCAGCTTCTTTAGGCATGGCAAGGGTCCTTCAAAGATAATGAAATATTTTCTCCTGTTTCATATCCAAGTTCTGCATGCCTCTGTTACGTGGTATTGAAAGCAAGGTTGGCACAAAATAGGTTTTCTTCCTTTAAATTATATGGAACAGCCTTGTCTTGGAAGTCTACTCCTCCGGCATATTTGGTAGGAATTCGGGGAATTGAACATCTGGAATTCTAGAGCTGTATCAGAATAGTGAAGAGCTTCTACCAGAATCAACATAGAATGGGATCCAGATGAAGATTCCAGTTTTCTTTGAAAAGTTTCTTGAACAGAGGTATTCTAGTATTGAAATGGGTAGGATAGCATTCTTGAGAGATTAATGCCATTAATGTTTATGCTTTGTTTTCAATATTTCCTGAGTTGATATTTGAAACAAGTGTTCCCTTTCAAAAGCTGTATTCCCAGGGCAGGCTGTACTTACATACAAGTGGGGAACTTTTCTGAAACTTTTCTCACAAGATCAAAAACTACTGTATCCCAAAGCTGCATATATTTCCAAGGGCATTTGAACGATTCCCAGTCCAGGAGAAACCTCCCCCCACAAAAACTATTTTTTGACAGGAAACCAGGCTTTCTTGTTATTTGTGAACTAAATCCCAAGTGTAAACTTAGAACCTTACAGAGGTTTGAATTTCTCTCCATGTGTTTTGTATAAAATGTACAGCTTCATTCCAAACATGGCACTGATTCCAAATGTGAAATCCAGCTGCCTCTCCTTTCTTGGCTCCTATTGTTTCCTGTTTTACATGGCCATAATATCACAGTTAGTAAAACTCACAATTGGCATAATTAGCCAATCTCAGCAGTGTATCAGGGTAAGATTCCAGGCGCTATAAATGCTGTGTCCCTGGCTTTTATTTGACAGCTCTTGGCCTGCTTTCTTTTCTGTCTCCTGCCTTGTTTTAAATGTTTAATGTTTTTAAATTTTATTATTTTAATTGTAAACCACCGAGAGTTGCTGTTCAGAGCGAGATAGGTGGCATATGAATTTAATAAATAAATAAATACAATACGTCTTCTTGGTTGCCCTGGGAAGATCAAATTCTGCCTTTATGCCTTGTTTTGGAGGTGCCTTTAAACTCATTGGCTTGGTCTGAATATCACAATAAATTGTTTAAAACGTGAGGAATTATTTGATGTGAAATTAGGCACATGCAGAAATAGAAAGAGCAATAAAGCTTGCTCTCAGATTACTGGGTTGGATGGTTATGTCTGAATTGACCCCACTGATTGAAGTTACGCTTTTTTACCCCCAGTTTCCTTGTTTGCTTGAGATACATGAGTTACTACCGTTATCCTCAACTAACATATGTAGAATATCCCATCATGATTGTGCAAGGTAGGATTTGTTCCTCATTTATTATTCCACCATTCTTTTGTTTTTCTCAATCATGCAGTAATGAACTTTGTTTTGTTTTCTTTCAGATATCATTCTTTGCCTGCTTGTTCTGCATTTCAATGGCAAAATGAAGCATGCTTTGCCTTACACTGTCATGTATCCTTCACTTATGGATTTGTTCTTTTCCATTTATACAGCATTTCCGGCAGTTTTTTCTACATTCCATATTTAGAATAAGCCTTCCCCCATGTTTCTTGTTTGAGGTTCACATGTTCAAACATTTTTTAATGGATTAATGTGCTTCATTGGCAATTGAAGCTTCTTTAATGGGGTAGAAGGGCTTTGTGAGAAATGTTCAAGTGTAGCAGAGTGGGCCTGCTTTTAATTCAGGGATAGAAGAAGTGGCTCTGCCAAGTTATTGGGCTATAAAATCTGCTATTAATGTTAATTGTTGGGCATTCAGGCTGGGACTGGTGGATCTTGGAGTCCAAAACTTCTGAAGAAGTTTGTATAGGTGAATATGTATGTGATATTTTACATAACTTACAGTAGTGGCCAAAATTGTGGAAACCTTTTGGGAAAAGTGTACAGTAGAAATGCCACCTTTGATTAAGTTTCCACCATTTTTTCTTCTAATTTCTTTATAACTGTAGCCTTGTTCACTTAATAGTACTATTTTACATCGCTTTCTGGGCAACCAGTCAACTCTTTGCACCATTACTTTAATTTTATTACGTTTCACAAGCTCACTAAATGAAAGAACACAAAAAACCCAACCAACTTGATAGCGATCACATATCACACTGACAAATGTCCTCCTCTCAGCTTCAATACATGACATCAATAACTGAATCCTACTGTGATCTGATTGGCTCATTGCCAAAACAAGATGAAACCTGATTGGCTCGCTAAACACTCATGCTCATTGGCTATACTCAGATGAAGGAAAGCTATCTGATATCGACCAAAGCAAGTTGTGCTTCCTTTTTCTGGTTATTTGGCTATAACTTTTCATAGAATACATTATAGATAATTGAACAAACTTTGTTGCGTTACATTCTTGATTAAATTATCTTTCCATTGATACATAATTTTATGGTACTACTCCAAAAAAAAGTGGTGTTATTAGCCATCAAACCTCAAAAATACACTTTTCCCAAAAGGTTTCCACAATTTTGGCCACTACTATACTTGGAGTCACGCTTTTATAGGAAATTTTTATTCATTGGATTCTGAAATGAAACATTTTTTTTTTCATTTTGCAGTTAGGATGCATGAGATCATAAAGACATTTCCCAAGTATCACCAGGGCCATTGCACAATAGTTTCTTAAGTGGATCTGGCTAACAATGCAGTCTGAGGGTTAGAAATTTGGAGATCAGAGTATGGAGTGTGAAGTGAAAGCTAATATAAATCCATCTCTGCAAAATGTATGCAATGGAACTATAGTGCTTTGGATTCAGATCCTTCACTACAAGTAGGGGCATGAGTCATTAGCCCCCGCGGAGAGGGCCCGCAACCTGGGCGTCCTCCTGGATGCTCGGCTGTCTTTAGACGATCATGTGACGGCTGTGGCCAGGGGGGCTTTTCATCAGGCTCGCCTGATACGCCAGTTGCGCCCCTTTCTGGATCGGGACGCTCTACGCACGGTCACTCAAGCCCTCGTTGTTTCCCACCTGGACTATTGCAACGCTCTCTACATGGGGCTCCCCTTGAGGTGCACCTGGAGGCTCCAGCTAGTTCAGAATGCGGCCGCGCGGGGGATTTTGGGGGCCTCTAGATACTCCCATGTAACACCTCTCCTGCGCGAGCTGCACTGGCTGCCTGTGGCCTTCCGGGTGCGCTTCAAGGTGTTAGTAACAACCTTTAAAGCGCTCCATGGCAATGGACCTAGGTATTTGCAAGACCGCCTCCTACCAAATACCTCCCTTCGACCAGTCCGCTCCCTCAGAGAGGGCCTCCCTAGGGTGCCGTCGGCCAGTCAATGCCGGCTGGCGACCCCCAGGGGGAGAGCCTTCTCTGTGGCAGCTCCTGCCCTCTGGAATGACCTACCCCCCGACCTACATACAACTGCGGACCTGCGCCTCTTTCGCCGAGCCTTGAAAACCCATCTATTCCATGCGGCCGACCTGGTGTAGTTTTGATTGTGTTTTGGTAGGGGTTTTTATAGGGGGTATTTTAGAGCAGGCTTTTTATTTAATATTTATTGTGATTTTTATTATCGCCTGTTCACCGCCCTGAGTCCCGTAAGGGAGATAGGGCGGTATATAAATTTAAATAATAATAATAATAATAATAATAATAATAATAATAATGAGCGTAGCATTTGTCTGCAACTCTTTAAAGCAGCTACATCTTTTCCCAGGAGCAGGATGCAGCTGCATAAGCAGCCTTGGAACTCTGGGGAAAGATGCACCTGAGGCAAACACAGATGCTTCATTTGTACACTCTGAAACCCTCCCCTGATCTCTTTCCGAACTGCTTCACAATCTTCATTTGTAATACACACTTGGATTTGCTAACCTACAGAGAGCTTTCCTGGGGATCCTGAGGGGCAGGACGATGCCGTTTTGCTGAACACACAAAGAAAAAGCAAATGGTTAATAATTCTAGACTTATTAATTCAGTCATCTGCTCTTGATGAATAATTTAATGTAAGTGGATGTGAAGGTTAAAGATAATTGAAATCAGTGGTATATCCAAAGGATTGCAAATAAGGAAAGGAGGAGAGCGCTGTAAAGTGACTACATCAATTAAAATCAGATTTACAAGCGTCCTTTTCACCTGCACCTATATTATGTATCTTAACCTGAAAGGTTAGATTTGTAGCAGGATGGTATGCTATAACTCTGCAAGAATGGATATTGGACTTGAGTATGGTAAGGAGTTGAAAGAACGGGCTTATATAATTAGTCATTCCAGATGTTGCGGTTTATAATGGGAAGCCACCATAAAATGTGTCGGGCAGGAACTTCACGGAAACGAAGAGTCAGAAGCTCATTGTTTATCTTCTGCTTTCCTTCACTTGAGTTAAGATGCATCATTACATGTGATGTGGCATAGCCGTTGAAATTGAGTTCCTCTACATTTTGTTGGTTGGAAAGATATTGCTCTTTATGCCAGCATGGGTCTCTGCAAGGGTGGCAAAGAGGGGGGGGCAAGTGACATCATGTAGGTTTGGGACCCCAGTATATGCCGTGCTTACAAAATAGCTTGCTACTTCAAGCTGGAGAGACCATAACAAAGAGAGCATCTAATTGTTTCCTTCAGTAATTTTGGTTTTCAATAAAGTTTAGAAATGTTTTATGGGTACACTAGTCAATATACAGTATATGCCTTGAAACACATTAGTATTTGGTTGCATTGTTGGAAAGCCAGGCAGGTCAAAGTAGTCTAAAAACATGGAAATTTGGAAACCATAAGATGAATTAATTAGGATAGAAATTGTATCAGAAAATTCAAGTTTGTCTCGCTCTTAGCTTTGGGAAGAAATAAATGTTAACTTAATATGATCACTTGACCTTCGGAGTGATCACACACTACTTCACTACACTGTTGATCAGCATGACTATTAATGAAGGCCATATCTTACGATACCGTAGGGCAGACATCCTTCTGTGGGCTGGGCTGGGTATTTTTGCATGAACCAAAGGGGGGAAGTAATACAAAACGGTGAGGATAGGAATGTTTTTTTCCTGAATTGGGAGAAAAGTTCTTTTTAAAAATAAAACTATGTCAAGTTTTATTTTATTATTTTATTTTAATTTTATTATTTGATGTATCTAAAGTAGTTGCCACCAATTTTTACCAGTTATAGCTCTAATGGTGACTGGCATGCCCAGTGTAGTCCTAGGGTCTCAAGTTCTCCATCCCTGGGGCAGTAGAACACTAGCCTGCATCAGCTCATCAGTGTTAGCTAAGTTCCTGGCTGACTAAATGGTAGCCTAGGCCAACATAGTCTGGCCCAGTTTAGGACCACCTGGTATCATGACAACTCCATACATTTTGACTTCTTATCAGCCCTTTTCTTTATGTTGGGTCTGAAGTATGTCTCTAGGTATTAGGGGAGAAATAAGATGCTTCCCATTTCTACAGTATTTGCTGCTTCTGCCATCAGATGCAAATTTCTAGAAAGGGGCTGCAGTTGCTGTGGGTTTCTGTTTTTGAGCCACTGATTTTAGTTGCTGTTTTTACTGTTGTTTTTTTCAATTGTCTTGTCACTTGTGTCTTGTCACTTGTGTCTTGTCACTTGGAAGAGCCCCCAATTAAACAGGATCTACAATAAAATATGTTTGTTTAACCATGATTTGTTAACTAAGCCATGGTAGGTGGATTATACAATAGCCTTAAGTCAAACAAATCTCAGTATGGCTTAACCTAACTTGCAAAGGAATTACATAATGCATCAGTGCAGACCCAACCATTAAATGTCATCTTCATTAACTGGCAGCAGCTTTGTTGGATCTGAAGCCGAATCTGCCCTTTGGGTCCTGGGACATGAAATCTTTTTTTAAATAGGCAACATCAGTAATTCAGTATCTGCTTACAAAAAGAACTGAGTGATGGACACTTCCCACCTTTCAACGCGATCTTTGCTTCAACAGTTGCATTCCTGTTCCCTCTCTGTAGATCTTGAGCACAGTGGTCAGTGCAGCAAGTAAACTTGCTCAGCTCCGGTGTCTTTGGCAGACGAGAGATTCTGAACAAGTGAGTGCCACAACTTGGGGATTAGCCACATACACCTGTGCAGGTAAGTGATATCTATCCTACCAACATGTTTGTGGAATTTCTCAGCATGTTTTTTTCCCCCCTTCGTTTCAATTGTGTCTAATTCTCGGAGACTACCTGAACTTTTTTTAAAAAAATGGTTTGCCATTTTGTCAAGATATTTTCCAAAGCGCCTGAAGGCAGGACAAGAAGCAACGGGTGGAAACTAACCAAAGAGAGAAGCAACCTAGAACTAAGGAGAAACTTCCTGACAGTTAGAACAATTAACCAGTGGAACAACCTGCCTCCAGAAGCGGTGAATGCGCCAACACTGGAAGTTTTTAAGAAGAAACTGGACAGCCGTTTGTCCGAAATGGTATAGGGTTTCCTGCCTGAGCAGGGGGTTGGACTAGATGACCTCCAAGGTCTCTTCCAACTTTATCATTATTATTATTATTATTTTTCTAGGTCTGAGAAAAAGTGGCTGGCCCAACATCACCCAGTTGGGTTTGTGCCTCAGCTAGGACTAGAACTCCTGACCTTTTGTGTGTAGCCTGATGCCTTAACCACTACACCAAATAAAATGAAATTTAAAATTATTGGAAGAATTTAAAAGTTAACTTGTATGAACTACTGTTAAATGCAGTTTGCTGAAATAAGGCTTTGAGTCTTCTAAAAATTGCTGATAAAACAAAAACAAGTGCTTGAAAGATGCTGTTCTTTGTTGAAAGATAATCTTTTGGGAGGATCAGGTGAATGCATACCAAAAGAAAAAAAAATGGAAGATTTCAGGCAGATGCTTGACAAGATTTCTTCACCGGGCATGATAATAATTCTGCATATCTTGTTTGCCAGGATTGAAAGGGAATGGAAATGAATTGTCAGCTAAAATATAAAACTGATTTATTTAAAATCTGCTAATTTTCATTCTTTCTCTCCCAAATAAAGCAAGAATATTTACAACGTTGATGACTACAAAGGATTCTACAGGTAATGTCACATTATTATTGGGGAGCCTTTTAGCAGAGATTCTAAACATTCTGCAGAAAAAGTGCAAATGTAGAGGAAGGTAAAGATAACATTGGCAAAGAATGCAAGAACTGTTAGCAGTCAGCAGTGTCTCGGCTCTGGGAAAAGTGGGTGCCTAAGACTCAAAGTAACCCTGCTTTGATCTTCTATCGGACAAGAGGATTTAGGTTCTGTTATTTATACTGTATAACAGGGGTAGGCAACCTTGGCTGTTTTATGACTCGTGGACTTCAACTCCCAGAATTCCTGGGCCAGCCATGCTGGCTCAGGAATTCTGGGAGTTGAAGTCCACAAATCATAAAACAGCCAAGGTTGCCTACCCCTGCTCTTATAACAATAAAATACTAGTACAGATAGTCCCAGATTAATGACCACTTCTTCACCCATTGAAATTATCAATGGTGCGGAACACATGGTAATTCCCACTGGTCCTTGAAGTTTCAGCCATTCCAGCACCCCCACACAGTCACAGTCACATGATCTAAATCTGGGCACTTGGCAAATGCCCCATCGAGGCAGAAAGGATTTCTTTACCTATATGTGCTGAAATGATGATATAGTTTTATGAGAGCTGACTTTAAATACTGCGATTGTGAGGGATTCTGTATAAGTCACACAAGATTCTACATTAGATGTGGGAATTCCTCTTATAATCTAGAGCATTATAAACTGTGCATACATATGAGGAAGGTGTTGTAACAGAATCCTGAAAACCTGTCAGAAATTCTCTCTACTTCCACTTACACCTAGTCCAGGGGTAGGCAACTTTGGCTCTTTTATGACTCGTGGACTTCAACTCCCAGAATTCATGGCTGGCCCAGGAATTCTGGGAGTTGAAGTCCACGAGTCATAAAAGAGCCAAGGTTGCCTACCCCTGAATCGCAATGTTATTTTGAATTTCTTTCTACTTCCCCCGGACTCAAAATTTATCTTTCTTTGTGATGGTTTAACATTGCACTTCCCCTTTTCTAAGTCAAATTCATATTCCCACGGCATTAAAAGGTTTGGGGTGCAGAAACTCATTTCTAAGAACAGACTTCACTTGACTGAAGGACTTGTTTTCAGTTTGTGACTGCTCTTGTGCCCTTCTTGAAGCCCAAAGTTAAGTAGGACTGAAAGTTTTTTTCATTTGTGGAGCTTCAGAGGCACAAGAAGGAATTCAATTTATTCTATGAACCACCTCAAAATGTCACTTTTTTCAAAGGAACCCTGGAAGCTACAAATTTGGAGTTTGAAAGGAGTCGGGGGGGGGGGAGGAACAACATGATGCGTTGGGATGAGGAGAAAGGTTCAAGAGTTTTTCTTCTACTAGCATGGATATTGTGCTATTAGTTTGAAAGCTATTGAAGCTATTTCCTAAATTTAAAATTGATTTAGCTTGCATGTTTTATTTTAAGATATGTAATTGCTAATGAGTATTCTTCCCTCCTCTTCCTAGTTCTGATCCGTTTTGTAGTCATGATGGCTCTTAATGTTTGGGTCATCGCTACTATATTGGAATACCGAAAGGCTAAGAAGCAAGATTAAGATGCAGATCCTGCTCCTTTTTAAATGACATGGATTAAAATGAGACATTCCATTAAATGAGAGCTAATGTTTACATACTGTACATGTACCTAACATTCAGTGCCCACACTTCAGTTACATTGTGATGGTTATACTTATTGTTTTTTTTTAAAAAAATAATTAGATGAATGAAGTCTTTCATTTTATATGAGCAGATTGCATAACAGACTTCTACAACTGGTTGAGTCTTATTTGTTGGTTATCTCCATGGACAGTCCTACCCTTCTAGTGTGTACACACACCTCAGTAGGACCAACAATAGTTCAAGCCAACAAAAAACTAATGTTTTATATTGAATTGCTGGTTTTTCAGAACTGCGTTTCTGGCAACTCTTAAAGGTGAAATTTATCTTCTAAAGATAAATTAGCCTATATGAGGAAATCTTTCTCTGATTTCCTCATGCTAAATTAAATGGCCCTCTAAAAGTGTAAATCTTCATCTTAAAAAAGAACTGTGTATTTTATTTAGTTAAGGTTATTTCAAAACAGCTTCAGTTACCAAAAAAAAAAAGTTCTTGTATTTCAGTTCCTGCACTTTAAATATGTTAAACTTGATACTCTGTTTGGGTTTATGTGTCAGTCTATATTTTTTTTTGAACCAAATTTGTATCCTACTATTTTGAGTAGCTGTTAGCTGTAACAATGCTAACATTATACCTTTGGTTCCAAATATAAACAAATACTTAAAGAAACTTAAAGAACATCAACAATATTTCAACAATTCTGTGAACTTGGTTTAGTGACCCACTAGGTTTCAAGAAGTATAAATGTATCATTAGTGCTTAATTTTGAAAGTTATTTCAGCAATAAAGAATGGCATTTCAAAAAACATTAGTAAAGCTTCTAAATCTCTGTGTCTATTCTCTGAATTAAGTATGCAGCTTTCTGCAATTAAACTTAATTGAGAAAATAAAGTGCTTTTGTTTAATGTTAAGTGAAGGAGCTTAATTACATTTTCAAAATTTCTTTTAACTTTTTTGAATAATTGTGCATCTCACACGGGAATAAAAAAATATGCATATGACCTGCTCTTATCATGTGGGAAATTGTCAGCAGAGAAATTAAGTACTTTTGAGTTCAGCTTATCCTGAAGGATTTTTGTCAAATTAGAGATGAAACAGATTTTATTATAGGGGTGGGGCAAACTACATTTTGTTTAGCCTGGTTTGTCAGGATTTTTATAAGGATTAAAAGAGAAAAACATCTACATGCATTCCATCTGAGATGAAGAGGGTGTTTATGTGTGTTTGTAAGTGCACCTTCGAGTCAATGTGGACTCCTAGCGACTATCTGGACTAGTCCCTGTAGTTTATTGGACAAAGTTTTGTGGAAGAGGTTTGCCTAGGGCTGAGAGGGAGTGACTGGCCCAAGGTCACTCAGCTGGCTTTGTGTCTAAGGTGGGACTAGAATTCAGAGTCTCCTGATTCTCGTCTGGTGCCTTAATCAACTAGACCAAACTGGCTGTGCATTTATGTGCATTCAGAAAATATTCAGATCACCTTTACTTTTGTCAATTTTGTTATTGCTGCAGCCTGATTCTACAGTTGTGGAAATTAATTCTTTTCTCATTAATCTACACTCAGTACCCAATAATGAGAAACTGAAAAGAGAAGCTTAGAAATATCTGTAAATTTATTAAAAAGAAAAAACTGAAATATCACATTGGCATAAGTATTCAGACCTTTCACTTAGTATTTTGTTGAAGCATCTTTGGCAGCGATTACAGCCTCGAGTCTTTTGGGGCATGACAGGACAAGCTTTGCACACCTAGATTGGGGGATTTTCTACCATTCTTCCTTGCAAATCCTCGCAAGCTCAGGTTGAATGGCAACAGTCGGACAGCCATTTTCAGGTCAGGGCTCTGGCTGGGCCACTTTAGGACATTTACAGAGTTGTCCCTAAGCCACTCCTTGGCTGTGTGCCTAGGATCATTGTCATATTGGAAAATGAATCTTCAGCCCAGTCTGAGGTCCTGAATGCTGTGGAACAAGTTTTCGTTGAGGATATCCCTGAACTTTATTCAGCTTTCCCTCAACCTGACCAGTCTCCCAGTCCCTGCTGCTGAAAACATCCCCACAGCATAATGTTGCCACCATGCTTCACTATTGGGATGATATTGGGCAGGTGATGAGCAGTGCCTGGTTTCCTCCAGACATAACGTTTAGAATTGAGGCCAAAGAGTTGAATCTTGGTTTCATCAGACCAGAGAATCTTGTTCCTCCCAGTCCGAGAGTACTTCAGATGGTTTTGTTGTTTTTTTGCAAACTCCAAGTGGGCTTTCATGTGTTTTGCACTGAGGAGAGGCTTTACGTCATCTGTCTAGCCACTCTGCCATAAAGCCCAGATCAGTGGAGGGCTGCAGTGATAATTATCCTTCTAGACCTCTGTCCCATCTTCATACAGGATCTCTGGAACTCAGTGACCACCGGGTTCTTGGTCACCTTCCTTACTAAGGCTTCCTTTCCCCCCCCCTCAGTTTGACCAGGCAACCAGCTCTTGGAAGATTCCTTGTTGTGCCAAACTTCTTCCATTTGAGAATTATGGAGGCCACTATGCTCTTAGGAACCTTCAGTGTAGCAGAAATTTTATTGTAGCCTTCCCCAGATCTGTGCCTTGCAATAATCCTGTCTCTGAGCACTCCAGGCAGTTCCTTTGACCTCATGGCTTTTGCTCACTTGCAGTATGCATTGTCAGCTGTGAGGCCTACAGAGAGGTGTGTTCCTTTCCAAATCATGTCCAATTTAATTTACCACAGGTAGATTCCAATCAAGGTGTAGAAACATGTCAGCAGCGATCAGGAGAAATGGGAGGCACCCGAGCTAAATTTCAAGTATTGTTGCAAAGAGTCTGAATACTAATTCCAATGTGATATTTCAGTTTTTTCCTTTTTAATAAATTTACAGACATTTCTAAAATTCTGGTTTCACTTTGTCATTATGGGGTACTGAGTATACATTAATGAGAAATAACATGAATTTCAATACCTGTAGAATCAGGCTGCAGCATAGCAAAATTGGCAAAAGTGAAGGTCTGAATACTTTCTGAATGCACTGTATGTTATTCTGTAAATACATTCATTTCTTGAAGAAGTCGGAACAGGATACCTGAATACTATTGAGCAGGGCATAAAGAGAAAGCTCCACAGTTTTATTTATAGGACAAACTGTCATTTTCTGGTGGCTTTGTGTTCAAATGAAAAACTGATTTTTCTCAAATTTAGGAGAAAGACTCTTTGTCACTTATTTTGTTGTTGCCACTTTCCTTAATACTGTCCTAGGAAGGTAATGAATCTTTAAGGGACAAAAGCCAGGATCCAACAGGCAAGACTTCTCCAAATTATGACCTATAGTAACAAATCCTACAGCTGAGTAAAATCCTATTAAATATTTAATATCCTACTAAAACCTTAATAAATCAGATTGGTCAGATTAAAATAAGACATAATCCTTGTTTAGTGATCACAATTGGGACTCTATCATTAAGTGAAGCTGTCGCTGAGTGAGAAATCACATGACTGTGACCGTTTCCCTTTCCCCAACTATCCGGCCCTTTGGAATGTTCAGCCCAGTACTGGGATAATTAGCAAGACAGGAATTGTTTGTATTTGGAGAGGAAGGGATTACAAGAGAGTTGGGAATATTCATCAAAAGAAATGTGGTGGGCTCACAGCCCGGAAAGGGTATGGGGGCCATGGGTTGTAAGTGCATTATACAAATAATCCAGTGTATTTTCCATTGTGTGTCTGCTCATTCTCTTGTAATCTCTGCTTTGGAGAAGGGAGAAAAAATGAGCCAGGCACAGGAGAGATTGCCTGCAGAAATCATATATTTCTTCCCCCCTCACAGAAAGCGAGGGATTACAAGAGATTAAGTGGGCTTCTAATATTTTCATCTAGACCTTCCAGAATCGCTCTATATTTCGAACAGATGTCTTTCTCAATTCCTATAAATCTAAATCATCCAATTCTCTTTCCAACTGTCTATCTTGGACCTCAGATTTACTCTAGAATTTTTGTTTTACATTGCCAGATATTTTTTTCAATTTCCTGTCCTAATTTTACAAATCTTTCATCCATTCATTTCTCAAAATCATCAGTTTTTCCCCCCTGGAGAGTTGCTTCTAGTGGGTAATAACAACCTGACTCATTCTGGAGCTCTCCAAAGTTTGGCAATTATCTTTTATCTCTCTGGATCAAAGGAAGATTGTGGAATTAAACGTGTGTTCTGGACAGAAGTTCATTCTGATTAAATTGGGGGAAAAATTGCAGATACTCTGAATTTTCATCTCTGTTCTCAACTGCAACAGAGCTGATATGGACATTTACAGTTTTGCTTTCTCCATTTCTTAACCTTTTAAGAAGCAATTAATTATAGAAGCAGCAAAGATAAGATTCCTTGCAGTGAGTTATACCTCCTTTTGAGATTATCAATAAGAGAGATGAGAGATTCAACTATTGGTGAGAACTAAAAAGTTTTTTAAATGGCTAAGCACAGAATTTTTCTGTTTTTATTTTTACTATGAAGTGAAAATGGATGAAATAAGATAAGGGGAAAAGAAGAGAGGAGTTTTTTTACTCTTACTCGGGAATTCTTTGGGGGGGGGGTTGCTTAAAAATAACTACTAGAAAAATGACCACCAAAGACATTCATTGGAAGTACTTGCGATTACTCAAGATGTAATTAATTCTGAAAAAATGGTAAATTTGATCAAATATTCCTGCTTACTCTTTTATAACCCCTTTCGTCATTTTCTGCAAGGGGAAAAAATAAAAATGTCAGACCCAGACTATATACTGACTAATGGTGATCATGTGACTAAGAGACACTGTAGATGTCATAAATCAGTGTTTCTCAACCTTGGCCATTTTAAGATATGTGGACTTCAACTCTCAGAATTCCCTAGCCAGCCATGCTGGCTGGGAAATTTTGGGAGTTGAAGTCCACACATCTTAAAATGGCCAAGGTTGAGAAACACTGTTTTAATGAAGGCATTGGTCATAGTTATTTTTTTCCAGCACCATCATAACTTTGAATAGTCACTGAATGAGGCAGTTAGTAAATTAGATCTCTTTACAGCTGATGCTAGCTTACCAAATCTAAAAATATACGTCATCTCTCACTGAAGAATTTCACCCATCCATTTCAAGATAGAACACTGGCTCATACTGAATTTAGTAATTATATGCTAGTGCTTAGATCTCATGATGGAATCTTAGATCAGATTGTTAAACTTATAATAGCAAAATATGGGGTTCTGAAGCAAAACAATTGGTCCTGGACGAAGCTTTAACTGAAAAAATCTTAAGATTTAGGTTTATACAGTTTTACATTGACTGATATGGTGAACCTTGCCACGGTGGTTTGAATAGTTTGTGTCTATGGATGAATTACATCATTATGTCTGGTAGAACAAAGTAAAGTTTAAAAACGTTTATGCAAGAGTGCAACTTATGGTCAGTTTCAGAAGCAATGCGTACGTTGAGCAGACAGCAAAGAATAATCCCGTATCTTTATTTTTTTATCAGTTTTACTGTAAGTTCTTTGATTGTTATGATCTGCACGGTCCTTGAGAATTGGGTGGCTTTTAAATTTAATAATAATTATATGAACACTTAAGACCTAGACAGGTGTGAACATGAACAATATAGTGTTACATTTTTCTTATTTTGGAATTGATGGAACACTTTTCTGACAGCAAAATTCATGCAGAATTCTCTTCATAAAAATCTTGATAAGCTTAAACCAATTATTTTTGATAAAAAAGGAAATCATGATCAGGCTTCTTTCTAAAAGCAAAGTTCTGATCTGCATTTGAAAGCCTGAAAGGTAC